TACCTTCCCTGCCAAATCTGGCTGATGTAATCAGGGAGAGGCAGTCCCTCAGATAACCCAGCCCCATGAAGGGCTTTAAAGGTCAACACCAGCACCTCAAACTGGACCCAGAAACAAACTGGCAGCCAATGCAGCTCACGTAGCAGAGGTGTAATATTTGCTCTTCTAGGAGCACACATAACTGCCCGCACTGGTGCATTCTACACCAGTTGAAGCTTCCAGATACTCTTTAAGGGCAGCCCCATGTAGAGCACATTACAGTCCAATATGGAGATGAGTAGGGCATGACTGATTGTGAGCAAAGCCTCCCAATCCAGGAAGGGGTGCAATTGGTGCACAACACAAAGCTATGCAAAGGATCTCCTAGCCACGACTGCCACCTGCTCTTTGATCAGAAGTTGTGAGTCTAGGAGGACCCCCAGATTGCACACCAGGTCTATCTGGGGCAGTGCCACCCCATCCAGCAGCAAAGATGGTATAACCTCAGAACCAGCAGAACCCCAACCCCAAAGCCACTCAGTCTTGCCAGAGTTCAGTTAAACCCTGTTGTTCCCCATCCAGACCCTCACAGCCTCTAGACACCAGGATAAGGCGTTCACAGCATCACTTAATTCACCAGGGGTAGAGATGTACAGTTGGGTATCATCAGCATACTAATGATACCTCATCCCATGGTGACGGATGATCTCACCCAGTGGCCTCATGTAGATATTAAATAGGAGAGGGGAGATCACTGAATCCTATGGCAGCCCACAAAGTAGGGGCCAAGGGTGGGACCTCTCCTCCCCAATCATCACCGACTGGAATCCAGCCTGGAGAAAGGAAGCAAACCAGCACAGCATCGCACTGCCCATCCCAAATCCCGAGTCGATCCAGAAAGCCACCAAGAGGTCAAGTAGGGCAAGGATGGATGCACAACCTCCATCCCATCCACACCACAGATTGTCCAAAAGTGCGACCAATGCTTTTTCTGTCCCATACCCAGGTCTGAATCCCGATGGAAAAGGATCCAGATAATCCACTTCATCCAAAGCCCTCTGAAGCTGTTGTGCAACCACCTTCTCAATCTCCCCCAATTTCAGATCATATAGCCACTGCTCTGACAGGAACACCAAATCCAGAGTGTGACCACTGTCCCATGTCGGGCTCTGGATGACCTGGGACAGCCCTATGGCCATCATGGTGGCTATGACTCCTGAGCCACCTCCAACCCCACTCTGAGAGAAGGCAGATTGAAATCCCCAGAACCATACAACTGGGGAGCTCCACTGCCAACCCCAAGATGGAGTCAAGGAGCTCAGACAGGGAGGTTTCTATATAGCAGGGAGGCTGGTACAACAGCAACAATTCTAACTGATCCTTAAGCCCAACTTAAGGAACAGAGTCTCACATCCAGGGACCTGGGGGGCAGTGCTCCTGAAAGCCATAAGGGATTCCCAGATGACAATTGCCACACCCCCACACCTGCCCCGGAGTCTCAGCTGATGCCACACCCGAAACCCCGCTGGGCATATCTCAGAAAGGGCTATCTCCCCGCTTCCGGACCCATCCAAGTCTCGGTAATACATGCCAGGTTAGCCCTCTCATCAATGATTAAATCATGAATGAGGGAAGCCTTATTGCAGACCAACCAGGCATTCAGTAGCAGCAGCTGGAGTTGCTACCCCCTTCTGAAGGGACCTTGACTAATGCTCCCCCTGCCCCCTTTGTCAAGTTCACTGGTGGAACAATGAAAGGCTGGGTTTTTTTCCTTTTCTTTCTTTTTTTTTTAATAATATTTTATTGAAATTTTAAAATTACAAAGTTAAAAGTTAGAAATGA